TAGGAGGCACAGGGGGGGGGGGCAATCTGCTGGCAAGAGGGAGGCTAGGTCACTTGTCTTGAAGCAGATTTATTATTATTATTATTATTATTATTATTATTATTATTTTGGACTAGAGGACTTGGGATGAGACAAGTTTATTATCATTATTATTTTTGGGGGCTAGGGGAGCTGATGGGATTTTTTTGACATCTTCAGCCTTCCTTGCCCCTCTCTTGGCACCACCCCTGGCCACAAGGTACTCTAAAAGATGTTATGAACAAGCACAACAGTGGTTAATGCCCACATTGGTAACATCTCTGCACATCAAAACAAAATTCTACAGAATACAGAGACAAAAACCCTGCTTCTCATACTGAGAAAATATCACAATAATGACAACACAATGATTATTTTTTGTATAGTTCTACTGCCAATAGTCTCAATATACTGCTATAATATCTATCACAAAAGCAAAGCTTTATGAGAAAAAGCTTACTAAAAAAGCTCATACGAGTATACTTTTTTAGACTAGTAGTATAATCTTCTGTCATTGACATATACAGTAGATCTAGTTTTTAAAGTACTGTAATTTGAATCCCTTTTACAAAACACACTATACATTGTAAATTTCTAGATGGAATATTATAAGTTAATATTTCCATGCTCATTAACTTATTATTTTGTATGATGCACAAAAAAAATTTATTTTATCAGCTTCGTACCATTGCACATACCAATGCATGGAAATTCTAATTCTCCTCCAATTGAAAGTCTCTTTTTGGACATTATACATGTATAAAATAATAAGGCAGCTGTGTAAATTTATATTCTTCCTACTTAAACAGAATATTGTTAACTGTGCTTTATATTAAGTTATATGTTTCACTAGAAGCTGTAACATTTAGGTGAGTAAACATAGGATGCACGTCTGTCTCGTAACCAGGAAAGAGAGGATCAAGCCTCCACCACGTCTTGCATGGTGGAGGTTAATATCTAAAGTCTTGGAGAGTGCATTCCAATGCTATACTGTGTTTTAGAACAATTTGGACTGCAATGCATATTAAGGTTCTACATGTGCAATTATTATGAAGATGGCTTTATACTATCTGACACAGTTTCAAAAAAATTAATAAAATAGAAAAGAGGACTAAGATGGTTAAAGACTGTTCTAATTTCCGCTGTCAGCAGCACTGATAATTCTTTTTTTTTTTTTTTTTTTTTTTCTGCAAAGGAAACTTTTACGGAGACAATGTTTTGACCTGTGACTATGATCAATACACATTGCAACACTGTCCCATTACAAGTTGCATCTGTAAAGTGCATCTTGACTACTGGAGATAAATAAAACTGCCTAAATCAACTAAGATGGAAGAGAGAAACAAAAACTAATGCTTTTTATATCTTGTATCATAAAAATAAAGAAATACAATAAGTGGCAAGGATGTAAATGCTGAGTAACACTGACATGTGCGAAACATAAGGGAAGTTTCACTTGCCAGGAGATGTTGAAAAATCCCCCTATGGGCAAAACATCTCCTTAACCCTTTGAGGGTTTTGGTCGTACTAGTACGTCTTACGTGTAGGGGTTTTTGATGTACTAGTACGCATAAATTCTAGCGGCCTCAAATCTAGTGGGAGAAAGCTGGTAGGCCTTCATATGAAAGAATGGGTCTATGTGGTCAGTGTGCACAGTCTAAAAAAAATCCTGCAGCACACAGTGCATAATGAGAAAAAAAAAACTTTGACCATTTTTTTTGGAATAAATCAGCGACTTTGCAGTGTATTTTCGTATGGTATTTATTGTTGTATTCTAGTTTTCTTGGTCTCATTTTATAGAATGGAAGACATATTACAGAAATTGAGATGATTTTGACTGGTTTTTACAATGAAAGGTGCCTTGAAATAAGCTAAAGTAGCAGAAATGTTCGATTTTTACCAAACTTCAAAAGTAAAACAAATCGTGCCAAGCGTGCAATACACGTCAACTGGTGAGTCTAATATTCTTTCACAAGTGCACCAATAATATTTATACCATTTTTACACTAATGCAGTAGTCTGCATAACAGTAAATCTTATATTTTTTGTGAGAATAAAAAATCGAGTGGAAAGCAAAAGAATATAAGAGGGCCTGAGACGTGACTAATGACTAGAGGAAATGTCATTTTAGTGCCAGGAATGTCTTTCTTGTTTATTCTGGACCCTATTCGGAAATTGGCATCTTTTGAAATTTGTGTGAAATTGGCAAAATTGCTAAATTCTGACCACTGTACTGGATAGTTGAATTTCATAAATGGGTGGTTTCTTGCACCCTTCGATAGAAAAAATGGAGTTCTAGTGAAATATTCATGTTTTTTGTCGACTAGTACAGTGAAATTGGCCGAAAATGGGGCTCAAAGTGGGCAAAATCGCCGATGCGTAAACATCTCCGAGACCGCTAACTTTGCGAGAGCATAATTCCGTAAGTTTTCTATCAAATTTCAAACTTTTGGTGTCTTTATGATCGGGAAAAGATTCTCTATCTTTTCATAAGAGAAAATAATTTTTTTTTTTTTTTTAAATTTGGCCGACCCTGAGAACGAGTTTCGGAGAGGGCCTGTCGACCCTCAAAGGGTTAACAAATGTCCTAATAATGTATTTGTGTCTTAAGTACAGTAATGGGCAAAGAATGTTATGCAACAGAAAATATGCTATGAAATTATTAATACAACTAGGAGTGTAGAAAGATGTGAGCAATGATGATAAAGTACAGTGTGAAGTAAGAATGGTAAAAAAAACGATGAATTATTAAAAATAACAAAATAGATATAAAAAATAACAAAAATTATGAAAAAACAGCAATTATAACAAAACAGAATTAAAACAAGATAAGAAATTTGTGTGCTTTAATGTATTTGGTGATTTTTATAATCAAAATTTTTGTGCTAAACCCCAAAAGGGTCTCAGCACGCAGGGAAGGGATGTGTTAGTAGGAACTTTCAAGGGATGAAGTGAGTGAGGAACAGAGTGTCTCTATGGGTTTTAGACAAAAAACATGAAAGAACAGATTGCTAAAATTATGTATGAAAAAAAGGAGAGTCCTAGCAGAAATAAAAAAATTTCTTTAAGAGGAAAATTGTTACATCCATTT